TTCGTTCAGGCAAGCCGCAAAACGGCTAAGCACCTTCCCTCTTGACAACCAACGCACATTGCTGTGCAAAAGCAGACCAGGATAGTTATTTACAACTTCATCCAGCAGTGTTTTAAACTGGCGATCATTTAAGGCTCGGGCAACAATAAAGTTGATCACACGAATGACCAGCGACATCACTTCGCCAAACTGCCTGTCACACATCTGAGCACAAAGTGCCTCCTGGTGTATAATGCAATGGAAACTTAGGATGGGTCTATTTTCATGTTCACGGAGAAGCGCCACAAATGCTTTGTTTTTCCCCACCATACACGGAGCACCATCAGTACACACTGAGAGAAGTTTATACATAGGTAGACTTTTTTCTTGAGCAAACTCCATGAAAGACTTGAATAAATCCTCACCTCTTGTGGACCCTTTTAATGGCTGAACAGCAAGACTTTCTTCGCGCAGTGTGTCACCAACAGCATATCTTGCAATCACGCTGAACTGCGACAAATGGCTCACATCTGTTGACTCATCCAAAGCCAGAGAAAAGAACGGCGCTGCATTTATGTCCTTCACTTGCGTTTCCTCCACTTTGTTTGCCATCACGATGGTACGATCATGAACAGTTCTTGCCGACAGAGGCATGTCTTGTATCCGTTTGATTATCTTGTCTTTGTTCGGAAGATCATCAAAAAGTTCATTGGCTACATCCAGCATGAACGTTTTAGCATACTCGCCATCTGTGAATGGTTTTCCATTCCTCACTATTGCTAAAGAACCAGCAAAGCTAGCCGAATTATAGTCACCTTGCCGGGTCCATACGCGGAGTTGCTGCTGGCTAGCTTGCACCCTGCTCAGCTCTTGGCACGCTTTCTTTCTGCTGTCTCCCGCAGGGTATTTTGATGCAAAGGTAGCGTGGCGCGTGTCGAAGTGCCGCTTTACATTCGACCGTTTCAACGATGTAATTTTGTCATTGCAAATTAGACACACCGCAGAACCCGCTCTCTCCACAAAGGCGAATTCTTCGGTCCATTCGTCCTGAAATGTACGATACTCGTCGTCTTTTTTTCTTTTCGCCATCTTCTTCGTCGAAGGGTTAGCTTTGAGCTAATGACCGAGCAGACGCAGTCTCAGACTGATTCAAAAGGGGGCGTTTACCTGTTTTACCCAGCAACGGCAAACGTAGGCCAGTATCATCCAATTAAAATAATGGACAATTGCTCCTGCAGCCCTGAACAGGACATGCGCAGTGAAAAATCGATGGATGGATTAAAACAAGTGAGAATATTTTGTTTTATCTGCGAGCCATATGCAATCATCAAAAGAGCCACATCTGGCTCGCGAGCCATAGGTTCCCGACCCCTGCACTACACTATACACTACTATACACTACTATACACTACACTATACACTACTATACACTACTATACACTACACTATACACTACTATACACTACACTATACACTACTATACACTACACTATACACTATACTATACACTACACTATACACTACACTACACACTACACTATACACTACTATACACTACACTATACACTACACTATACACTACTATACACTACACTATACACTACTATACACTACACTATACACTACTATACACTACACTATACACTACTATTCACTACACTATACACTACACTATACACTACTATACACTACTATACACTACACTATACACTACACTATACACTACTATACACTACACTATACACTACTATACACTACACTATACACTACTATACACTACACTATACACTACACTATACACTACACTATACTATACACTACACTATACACTACTATACACGACACACTCTGTGTCTCTGTGTGTGTCTCTGTTTGTGCGTGTGTCTGTGTGTGTCTCTGTGTCTATCTGTGTCTCTGTGTGTGTGTCTCACTGTGTCTCTGTGTGTGTGTGTGTGTCTCTGTGTGTATGTCTCTGTGTGTCTGTGTCTGTGTCTCACTGTGTCTCTGTGTGTGTCTGTGTGTGTGTGTGTGTCTCACTGTATCTCTGTGTGTGTGTCTCTGTGTGTGTGTGTCTCACTGTATCTCTGTGTGTGCGTCTCTGTGTCTCTGTGTTTGTCTCACTGTGTCTCTGTATGTGTCTCACTGTGTCTCTGTATCTGTGTGTGTGTCTCTGTGTCTCTGTGTGTCTCACTGTGTCTCTGTATCTCTGTGTGTGTGTCTGTGTGTGTGTCTCTGTATGTGTCTCTGTGTCTCTCTTTGTCTCTGTGTGTGTGTTTCTGTGTGTCTCTGTGTGTGTCTCACTGTGTGTCTCTGTGTCTCTGTGTGTGTCTCACTGTGTCTCTGTATGTGTCTCACTGTGTCTCTGTGTGTCTCACTGTGTCTCTGTATCTCTGTGTGTGTGTCTGTGTGTGTGTGTCTCTGTATGTGTCTCTGTGTCTCTCTGTGTCTCTGTGTGTGTGTTTCTGTGTGTGTCTCTGTGTCTCTGTGTGTGTCTCACTGTGTGTCTCTGTGTCTCTGTGTG